GGGGGGGGGAGGTAGTCTCAGGGAGCGAAGAGAAGGAAGCGGATATGGGGGAGGACGAGCGGTGGAGCGGCAGAAAGAGGAGGAAGAAGAGGAGGAGGAGGAGGAGGAGGAGGGGGACCAAGAGGAGGATCAGAAGGAGAGAAAGAGATGGCGCCGTCGGGGGGGGTCATGTGCACGTGCACGCTTGCAGACATGCCTGGCGGTGAATGACGACAGAAGGTCTTCGTAGGCCCGCGCATTGGCCGGCGTTTGGCTCAGGTGCCCGTGCGCATTGCAAAGGAGAATGGTAAGCCATGCGAATGAATGCCAAGCGAACCGAGGCAATGTCAAGCAACGCCGCAAAACACCAAGCAATGCCAAGCCGAGGATGTCATGCTGCAGCGGGCCGCACGCGAAAATGAATAAATATGGGGGGAAGGTACCGAATCCGTGGTCCGCAACAGATTTCCGGGGAATGCGGTTGCGAACCCAGGATTCAGGTCAGTTTGGTGGAACACGCCCTGTGGGCATTGTTGCAACCCCCTTGGTGGACCGGCTCGGGGCCCTCTCGGGCCGTCCTGGGGCCATCTTGGGCCGCGTTGGGGAGTTCGGGCCCTCTAGGGAGGGGCCTTATGCTACGTGGGCCTTCCTGGTCACCTCCCATGGCCTTTTCGGGGGCCTCCCATGGCCTTCTCGGGCTTGAAAAGGCCTGTTTGGTTTCTTTTTGGCCCATGTGGGGCTTCTTTGGACGATCTCGGAGCCATCCAGGCCGGCCGTCTAGAGGCTCCCTTAAGGGTCTCTTGGGCCGTTTCGGGGCGATGCCGGAGGCCTTCTGGGCTGTTTCGGACGCCGGTAAGACCCGAACGGCGATTATGTTGAAAGCGCACGTTTCTCCTCACAAAGGAACGAAGCGATTTCTGCGATGTGGGAGTCCTGTTGAAGGCCTCCTGGGCCGTCTTAGAGGCCTCTGGAGGCCATCTGGGCCCTTTTTGGAGCGCTCTTGTTTTGTTTTGGGTCTCTCTGCGGCTTTTCTGATCCCCGCTCTGATCGCTCGGGATCTGCTGGCAAGACCCGGCTAAGCGCCCTGGGAGGTCCGAGACGAGCCGGGGGACCTTCGGCAACGGTGTCCGGGGGGCCCGGAAACGCCAGATCCTGGAGGTCCTGTTTTTGGGGAGGGGGGCGGGGGGGGGTCCCCCCCCCCAGCTTGCAAAAATATAGGTCGAGGAATATGTCTGTATTCGCAGGGACGTAACGCGTGACCTTCGGCCCATCCCGTCACCGTGCTTGTGTGGACACGAGGCCTTTGAGATGCCTTTTGGGGCCTCTTGAGGGCCTGCCAGGCTCTGGGGTTGCCCTGAGGGGCCTCCTGATGGTCCGCAAGCCATTTAGGTGTGGAGGCCTGCTGGCGTGGTAAACGTCTGCTACCGGGTGCTATCGACCCAATCGGTACCGATCGTTCGGTCACGATTGCTATCGTCTGCTATCGGCTCCTATCGTCTGCTATAGTCTGGTGTTCGTTCATATCGTCTGATATCATCCGACAGCAAGCGGTAGCAGCCGATACAAGACGATAGCAGACGATAGGTGCCCAGAGGATCGATAGTAACGATAGCAGACGGTTAGCAGACACTTGAAACCCAAAGCAGACGATAGTATACGATAGAAGTCGACACGTGTTCATATCGTCGATAGCAAGCGAAAACAGACAATAGATATCGCTACCAGAGGATAGCAGACGACAGGTGCCGATAGCAGGTCAGAACAGTCATTATCAGACGGCAGCAGACGATAGTCGTCGAGAGGTGACAATAGAGTCGACAGCACACAATAGCAGACGATAGCAGCGGTAACCCGACGATAGCAAACGATAGGTGCAGATGGCAGATGGTAGCAGTCGCTACCAGAAGATAAACGGACAATAGGTACTGATAGAGTCGATTGCAGACGATCGCATACTGTTATCAGACGATAGCTGACGACAAAAACCCAAAACAGACGATAGCAGACGGCAAGTGCCGATAGAGTCGCTAACAGACGATAGCAGACGATAGCCGTCGTCAACAGACGATAGCAGCTGTTCCCAAACGATGGCAGACGATGGGTGCCGATAACATACGATAACAATCGTTAACATACGATAGGCACCGATAGAGTCGATCGTGAACGAACGCAGACTAGAACGTCTGCTCTCGACTGCTACCTGTTAGTCTCGCCTGCTATCGTGCTATCGGCCGAGATCGTTTGGCATTGCCTGCTGTTATCGGCTGATATCGGCTGCTAATTGTTGTGTCGATTTGTATCGTCGGCTGCTGGCTACTACTGTCAGCTCTAGTCCGCTATCGTCTCGTAACACTTGCTATCGCCTGACATCGGTCGCAATCGTCTGATATCGTTTGCCGCCGGCTGCTATTGCCTGCTATCGTCAGCTATCGTTTGCTATCGCTGGCTAGTCTGCTTCCGTCTGTTGTCGGCCGAGATCGCCTGCTGCTGTTTGCTGCTATTGTCTGATAGCAGCTGCTATCGGCTGCTAGATGTTGTGTCGGTCTGTTATCGTCTGCTGCCTGCTGCTATCGTCTGCTATCGTCTTGTAACATCTGCTACCGTCTGGCCTCGATTGCAATAGTCTGGAATTGTCTGCTATCGTCTGCCCTCCGCTGCTATTGCGTTCTATCGTCAGCTATCGTCTGCTATCGCCGGCTATCTTTGCTATCGGCTGGTATCGTCTCCTGCTATCGTTTGCTGCTACCCGCTGTTCATACTGTCTGTTACTATTGCCTGCTATCGTTTGCTGCCTGCTGCTATCGCTTGCTATTGTTTTGCGTCGTCTGTTTGGTCTGGAAGAGAGAGCGCGGGCCAGAAGGTGATTCACACATTGGAGGCCAGGTTAGTTGATCCCTCTCTAGCTTTGTATTCCTGCTTCGTTTTTTCTCTCCCTTCTTCCTTCATCCGTACCAATGTTGAGGTCAAGGTCGGACTGTTTGCCCCGCCTGCCCGCCTATTTTGCCAGGCCCCCGCTTGGGCATTAGCGGCACTTTATTTGGTTGGTAATCGAAGTGCAGAATGAGGGAAGGAAGTATATTAAAGGTCTTTGACTATTGACCTGGTGAGCCAACGGGTTCGTATCGAGCTGCCTGCGGCAAGTCCCGACACCGTGCCACCCGAGCATTCTCGACTGTTTGAGGGTGGGAAAGTCGTGATGAGCATGATGATGGTGATGACGATGATGAGGAGGAGGAGAAGGATGATGTTGATGATCATGGTGGTGTGATAATGTTGATGATGATGGTGATGATGGTGCTGCTGATGTTGTTGATGCTGATGACGTCGATGTTGATGATGGTGGTGGTAATGGCGATGGTTGTAGTGCTGGTGATGGTGGTCATGATTATGATCTTGATGACGGAGAAGACGGCGAGGATGATGAGGATGGTAATGAGAATGATGATAAGGATTAGCGTGATGATGCTGAAGATGATGACGATGATGGTGATGATGCTCATGATGATGATGATGATGATGTTGATGATGGAGATGGTGATCGTGAAGATGATGATGATACTGATGTTGTTGATGATGTCGACGGTTTTGATGATGGTGGTGGTAATGATGATGGTTGTGGTGGTGGTGATGGTGGTCATGATGATTATGTTGCTGATGGTGACGATGACGAGGATGATCAGGATGAGACAGAGAATGAAGGTAAGGATGACGATGATGCTGGTGATGCTGATGAAGATGCTGACGATGATGAGGATCATGATGGTGATGCGGATGATGATGATGATGATGCTGATGATGATGATGATGATGATCATGATGATGATGAAGAGGATGACGATGACGATGACGATGATGATGATGACGATGCGTATAGTATTGCTGCTGCTAATGATGATGAGTGTGATGATGATGAGGATGTTGATGCTGACAGTGAAATGATGATGGGGATGACTATTTTGCGATGATGATGGCGACGATGAGGATGATGATGATGTTGATATGACGGTGGTTGTGATGATAATGATAACGCGAATGATAATGGTTTTGATGCTGGTGATGATGATGGTGATGATGCTGGTGATGATGATGATGCTGACGATGGTGATGCTGATGGTGTTGATGATGATGATGATGATGATGATGATGATGATGATGATGATGATGATGATGATGGTGATGGTGATGGTGATGGTGATGGTGATGGTGATGGTGATGGTAATGGTGATGATGATGCTGATGCTGATGCTGATGATGATGATGAGGAGGAGGAGGAGGAGGAGGAGGAGGTTGATGATGGTGGTGGTGGTGGTTGTGGTGGTGGTGGTGAGGAGGAGAAGGAGGAGGAAGAGGAGGAGGAGGAGGAAGAGGAATACCGTCACATGTGACACATTTCGTCTTCCCACTTTGAGGAGCTTTCATGGAACCCATATGGGCCATCTTGGGGCCCTCCTCCGCCGTCTTGTGGCTCTCATGGGCCGTCTTGGGGCCATCTTGGCCGTATGGTGGGTGTCTGGGGGCCGTCGTGAGGCCTTCTCGGGGCGTCGAAAGGCTTTCTTGGGCCGTCTTGGGCCCTTCTGGAGGCCTTCTTGGGGCGTCCTGGGGCCGTCTTGGATGCTTCTTGGGCCATCGTGGGGCCTCTTGGGGCCCTCTTGGAGGCCTCGTCGACCGTCTCGGGGCCATCGTGGAGGCTTCTTGGGTTGTCTTGAGCCGACGGAAGCCCGAAAAGACGAGGATTCGATAATCGCTCAAAAGCGCAAGGGGTATCAATGAGTTTAGTCCCTTCGGGCCCCGGTGGGGGGTCATCTTGTGGCTCTCCGCCGACACAAGAAATCATCCGAAGCATGTTCGTCGAAACAGCGAACATCTGGCGACAGATCCCATGTCATAATCAACGTTATAGTTTTGAGCAACTTTGCCATTGGGTTGCCGAATTTCTGGGTCACCCATGATGGTCCACCAGGGCCGCCCTCCCCATCTCCCGCGTCCTTTTTCCTCTCCTAGCCCCGCGGACCGCTGCGCAGGAATCCGTGGGAGACGCCCATCGGCAAGGCTGCAGCCCGCCAGGGAGGAGGGAGGCCGAAGAGGACGGAGGAGCACGGAGGAGGGATGAGCAAGAGGGGGAGGGGGAGGGGGAGGGGGAGGAGGAGGAGGAGGAGGAGGAGGAGGAGGAGGAGGAGGACGAGGAGGAGGAGGACGAGGAGGAGGAGGAGGACGAGGAGGAGGAGGAGGAGGAAAAGGGGAGAGGTGGAGGAACAGGAGGATGATAAGGATAAGGATGAGTGGACAATGCCTACGTAATCCCTGCAACTGCCAGGGGCAGAAAGCGGCACAGCCGCCCCCGTCCATGATAAGCTCTGTCATTGCGTCAAGATCCATGTCGCCGATTGGCGGGCGTAGCATAGGGCGTGGATGTTCTCCTCCCATGTGTGCCCCGAAGTGCTATTCGGCCTTTTCGTGCCGCCTTTGCCTTTGCTCCAGCATGGGAGGCCGATTTCACGAGGGCTCATGAATGTTGCATCACATATCGTAGTGCCGGATGTGGGCCCCAGTTGGTGTGCATTTCAAGATGGGACAACATATATCTCAATATGGGCTTACATAGCCCTCGAGATGCCTCCGAGAGGTCCCGAGACGGCGTCAAGAAGTTGAGCCATATTGGGAGGGACGGGGCTACATGTCGGATGTTATAGATAGTCGTAGTCTTCGACCAATATTGCCATTGTGCCCAGGCTGCGGACATGAGACCCAGGAGTTTCGTGGGGCCTCTTGGAATGCCTCTTTGGGGGGGCGCTCTTGGGGGCCTCCTTGGGCATCCTGGGGACCTCATGACCTCTCTGTCTTGGACGCTCTTAAAAACGGCAAGACGAGAAGGCTGAAGTCATTGAAAAGCATGTCTTTTCTTCCTAACCCTCATGTGTTGGTTCTCGTTGTGAGCAGAGGTCTCCAAGCACCTCCCCTTCCTCCCCCCCTTCTCGTCCTCCGTCATTTGGACTTCTTGGGAGGCTGCGAGCTGCGCAATTGTCGCCACGTTGATGGGGAGGCACGGCGGAGTAGGGGATTACGCAAACCCAGCCGAGACCTCGCAGCTCTATAGGGGGACTGCGACCCGCGCAGCTGTCGCCAAGTTCGTGGGCTGCTGGGGGTCACGGCGGAGTAGGGGCACCCTGTCAAGACCAAGCAGCTCTATGGGGGACTGCGAACTGCTCCACTGTCGCCGCTATTGTGGACTCCTGGAAGGCCCGGCGGAATGGGGGAGTACGCACATCCAGCCGAGACCTCGCGGCTCCCCTTTGGGGCTGCGAACTGCGCAATTGGCGCCTCTTTCGTGGGCTCCTGGAAGGCCCAGCGGAGTGAGGGAGTACGCACATCCAGCCGAGACAGTGTTGCTCCCAGGGGGGCAACGACCTGCGCAATTGTCGCCACTTTCGTGTGCTCCCGGGAGGCCCAACGGAGTGAGGGAGTACGAAACATCCAACCGAGACAGTGCGGCTCCCTGGGGGGCTGCGAAGTGCGCAATGCTCCTATTTCGGTGGGCTCCTGGGAGGCCCAGTGGAGAGGGGGAGTACACAGACCCAGCCGAGACGTCGCGGCTCCCTGGGGGGCTGCGATTTGCGCGACTATTGCCATTGTCGTGGGCTCATGGGAGGTCCGACAGAGCAGATTGTCCACGCAACGTGTTCTTCTGTCTGGAGCGTTTGTTGAAATCGTCGACTCGCGTGGAGAAGGGGTGGGGTACGTCTCGGGTAATTGTTCTTTGTGCATCTTGGAGCGGCGCCCAGAGCCTCCAAGGCCGCCCAAGAGGGCTCAAGGACGGGCCTTAGCAGAATCTCAAACCATGACAGTCGTGTGGACTCCCAAACCACGCCCCCGAGGCGCCTAGAAAAGTCGCGTTGCAATCAAATCCCTGGCATTCGGAGGTCTGGGCCCCCCAGGGAACTCGAAGGGGCCTGAGGACATTCCACTCCGTGCCTCGCGGGATGGTGGCAGATCGCGTAGTGGACAGATTGCACCAATCTGCACCGACGCATTCAAAGTTGAGATGGGAGCACTGGGAGCTTTACTTGTGCTGTCGCGGCCCGTCATTCAGTCTGTCGCATTTGATTAATTACATATCCAACTGAGTCCTGTAGGTGATCACTCCTATTCCACCCTGCCTCGTCATACTCGCCTTCTCCGCGTCTTGATTGTGATATCAATACTTTCCCGCGCCGTGCCCGCTCGCACGCCTGCCGCCTGGCGGCATGTGCTCTTAGACAACCACTTCTCCTCTCAGCACATCTCATTCACCATCCATCATCCCACCCTGCCGTTGTTTATTATCGAAAACGTCTACGGCGAATCAACCCCGTCCCCTGCTTTGTAGGACACGCCCACGTGGGCAAAGTTTAGCCACGCTGTTGGACCAGACGTTCCCCCAAGCCATTCGGGGAACACAGGGGGGAGGACGAGGAAGATGAGGAGAGGGAGGACAGAGGAGGATGAGGAGAAGGATGAGAAGATGTTTGGGGAGCTTCAGGGGTCATTCATGAGGCCTCCTGGGAGCTTCTTAGGGGGGCCTCTTGGAGGCCTCTTGGGGGCCTTTGGGGGCGTCTTGGGTGCTGGCCGTCTTCGGGCGTTCCTGGCCCGCCCGACGCCGTCGGAAGCCGTCGTGGGAGCTTGTGGGCCGTTTTGGAGGCCATCTTGGGCGTCTTGGAGGCCTCTTGGGCCGCCTTGAAGCTTTTTTGGGGCCGTCTTGGGAACCTCTTGGGCCGTCTTGGGGCCATCTTGAAGGCCTCTGGGGTGATCTTAGTGTAATGTTGGGGGCCTCGTGGGCCGTCGCAAGGCCGCTTCGAAGCAAATACCAGAATCCGACAAAAGTCTTTAGAAAATCAATGATGTTGGCACCTTCGGGCCTTCCTGGAGGTCCTCTTGGAGTCCTCTTGGGCAGTCCTTGAAGCCTCTTGGGCCGTCTTGGAGGCCTCTTGGGCCGCCTTGGGCAGTCTTGAAGCCATCTTGGATGCATCTTGGGGCCATCGAGCGCGTCTTGAGCGAACTCGGAGGCCATCTTGGGTCATCTTGGCCGCTTTGGATGCGGTATGTTGCAGATTGCTGGTCGTCCTGGACACAGTAGCGGGCTGGGCCGAAGGCCACTGGGATAATCTAAAAGAGCCAAAACGTCCCAGACGTCCAGCACGCCGTGCACCCGTGGCGGATCTAGTAGCCTTCGGCCCATCCCGCCTCCAGGCCTAGGTTGTAGGTCAAAGGCTTTTGGGATGCTTGTGAGATCTCGTGGGAGGCCCCTCGGAAGCCTCTTGGATTCGCTTTTGGGGTGTCTTGGGGGCCTCTCGGGGGTCTCTTGGGGGCTCTTCCGGCATGATTTGGGCCTCTTGGGGGCATCCTGGAGCTTAATGGGGGGCGTCTTGGGGGCCCTGCTGGCGGTCTCGGGGGCCATCTTGGGGGGGAAGGGCTCGAAATGTCGGTTTGTGTTTCCCCTCCGAGGCCTCTCTTGGGCCCTCTTGGGCCGTCTTGGGGGCCGCTTGGGCCTTGGGCCAATTGGGAGCTCTCTGGGTGGCCTCTTGGGGCGATCGTGGAGGCCTCTTGGGCCGTCTTCGAGCATCAGAAGTCCGAAAAAGCCAGAACACTACACCTAAGGGGTTCCATGATTTGGGCATCTTGGGGATGGAGCGCTCCTGGGGCCTCTTGGTGGCCTCTTGGACCGTCTTGGCATGATTTGGGGCATCGTGGAGCGCTCGTGAGCCGTCCTGGAGGCCTCTGGGACCCTCCCGGGCGCTTCCGAGGCCCCTCTTGGCACGTCTTGGCGCCCAGGACCACTCGGAAGAGTTGGGAACTTGGATGGCCTTCGGGCCTCCAGATACTTTATTTTTCTCAAGCCAGACAACTCGAACTCGAAGACAGTCGCTGCTAGTTAGGGGCTCCGTGCCTCTGGCGCGCCGACAGAGGCAAGGCCGCGGTCGCGCGCGCCCGGCACACCCACCTCTGCTGCATCTTGCGCCTGAGGGCACGGTGGCGGCGGATACCTTAGGGGCTGCGCGGATCGTGCCTCCCACTGTCCGCGGGTGGCTTCGGAAATGGTTCCGTCACAATTCTTGACGTTTGGCGTCCCCGCCAGCCCATCCAGCGAATATGCCCAGGCGAGTTGCATTGATCAGGGAATTGCGGGAGCACGCAGTGGAATAAAATGGAATAAAGAGGGGTGACCGTTGGCCTGTGGGTGGTTTCAACCTGCGGCGGCCTTCTAGAGCCCTTGAAATTGCCTCTTGTGGCCATCTTGCAGCCACCTTGAGGGCCCACGAGCCCATCGGAAGCGAGAAGGCGAGAATGCAACAAGCGCTGTGCTGCCTTTAGGTGTTAGAAGGATTTGTGCCTCTTGAGGGCATCCTTGGGAGGCTCCGTGGCCACGCAGAGCCGCCTTGGAGCGGTCTTAGGGCCTCTTGGAGCATGTTGGAAGCCACCTTGCGCGATCTTGCACTATTCTGAGCCATCTTGGAGGTCATCTTGGGCGCCCCGTCCACACCCAGGGAGAGGGGTCAAGCTACCCCCCTTACCCGAAGGACGGCCGTCTCGCTCACTCCCCACCCGCCCTCTCGCCGCAGAAGTAGCACCCGAGTCTCAGCGTAGACGAGGGCCGCCACCGACAATCATCGGGAACAAGTGCAGACACCAGCCAGGTGGACGATGCCGCAACATGTACGCTTGTTTTGACAAGGGTGGTTGGGGGATGCCGTCACGGTTACAGGTTTGCCGCTGGTCAGGTGGAGGAGGGGTCGGCACTAAGAAGGAACAGTGATAAACCTTTCCCCGAAAGGGAAGACGGGGGATGGAAGCGGAAGCGCTCTAAACCACCTACGCCCCAAAGGGCTGGCGCCCACCCGAGCGTAGAGTTCGAAGGGTGATTCCACTGGCTGGCAGGCGGTTTCCATTGGAGGCCCCTCCTCCCTTCCAGTGGAGTCTCCATGGCCTGGCGTCAGCCATCGCCAACGCCAGGGCTACAACGATTTTCAGCACCAGACGGTCATCTCTGCTGCTCAGCTGAGACTTTTCCGCGGACGGCATGTATGCACCGTACTGCGCTGGCGCCTCTCGAGGCGTCGTCGATCCTCGACCCAGGAATGGTACAGTGCATAGTTTTCTGGCCCCCAGAGCCGAACAAGCTATGCACAATACCGCGTTGGAGCGGGGCCTGAACGGAGTCCAGGCATGGTACGGTGCGTGGGCGCCGTTCTCGTAACTTTGGTCGCAGCTTGATCCGCTTCCGCCGAAATTCTCCAGCAGGCACCGAGCCGATGCGCCGCGGGCCCAGGTGTGCCCAGAGTCCATGGGAGTGCTGCACAGCATCTTCACTGGCTACGGGGACCCGGCCTCGCGCGAGGTGGGAGGCCAAGGTGTGAGTGCGAGGTTGCTAAAGTAAGAGAGAGAATTTGCTGAGGCTGTGTGGGGCAAGTGCCGAGTTTCAGTCGGTAGTTGGACAAGTCTAGTGTTGGCAAGCAGGCCCAGTAGGACTTCACCTGACGGTCCCGCTGTTCCTATCCTTATCCTGCCCTCGGTCCTCCTCACGCGAGGGATGGGGAGTGGGGCGGGGCACGCCGTGCTCGGGGAGAGGCATGCGTACCTCTTGTTCCCGCACGGGACAGAGCAGGAGGCGAGGAAAAACGCGCGCACCCTCCCCATCACCAGGGCCTCGCAGGAGTCTCGTGCGAGCGGCGGGCCTACCAAAAGTTCTGCCTCGAAGCTTCGAGACGAGCCCGGCGGCTCGATCGGATTGCTCCGTCGGTTCGTCGCTGTGCTCAAGCTCTACGAGTGACAGGAATACCCCCTGGCTGACCGGCCCGGGTTCCCGGCATCGTGGCCGGCCCGGGTTCCCAGCATGCGGAGGGCGCCGACTGCATATTTGCACCCGTCCTGGCCAGGCCGATTTTTGGCCCTGGATCGGTGCATGTGCCTTCCAGGCCATAACAGGCAGACGTATGCACCGATTCTGGGCCCCAGGATGGATTTGGTCAGGGTCGGTGTGACTGTGTCTGTGTGCGTGTGTGTCTGTGTCTGTGTTTGCGTGTGTGTGTGTGTGTGTGTGTGTTTGCGTGTGTGTGTGTGTTTGTGTGTGTGTTTGTGTATGTTTGTGTGTGTGTTTGTGTGTGTCTGTGTGTGTTTGTGTGTCTGTGTGTTTGTGCGTTTGTGCGTGTGGTTCTGTGAGTGTATTCGTGTGTTAGTGTGTGTGTGTGTTTATGTGAGCTTGTGTGTGTGTTTGTGTGTTTGTTTGTGTGCTTGTTTGTTTGTTTGTGTGTGTCTTTGTGTGTGGTTGTGCGTGTTTGTGTGTGTTTGCGTGGGTGTTTGCGTGTTTGTGTTTGTGTGTGTGTTTGTGTTTGATGTGTGTGTGTGTCTGTGTGTGTGCGTGTCTGCGTGTGTGCGTGTGTGCGTGTGTGTGTGTGTGTGTCTGCGTGTGTGTCTGCGTGTGTGTGTGTGCGTCTGAGCCACGCTTCCTCCCTCTTTTGGGCTGCATCCGCTCGGCCGTCTGTTCCTGCTTCCCCAACGCTGTGGCCAGCGTGACGCAGAGCGAGCGCTCACCGCACGGGCTGCGGCAGCGGTCCCATGCCCCTTTGCATGCACATCGTCAGTTGCGCGTCTGGCTCAGAAGAGTCCCGCAGTGGCATCGACGTGCTTTGGCCGTCCAGCTTGATTGTCTTTACTGTTCTTAGCTTGATCGGGTGCCCCAAAACTTGTCGCGCCGTTCGGAAGCCACTATCGCCCTCTGACCCTCGCCATTGGCGATCGGAGGGCCATCTGGGAGTTCCTGGAGGAGCCCGGGGTCACCCTGGGCCAGGGCCACCTCCAGCAACACCCGAGAGGGGGTCCATGGCGCTCGGCGTCCTGGCAGAAGTCAGGGCGGACGGTCTTCTCCGGGGCATGGGCCGCAGGCACGCCAACGGCGGTGCAGGTTTCGGGTGTTGTGGGACCGCGTGGCTCGTGCTTTCCTACGGTTCGCTGTGTCGGTTTCGTCTGACACATTCCCAGATTGGAATGTGGGAAGTGTGGTTCGCGACTTCATGCCATCTGGTTCCCGACATCACCGTTGAGCACCATCGCCGTTTGCGTGGCCTTGGATGGGGTCGATGGGTCCTCAGGGGCCTTGTGCCCTCCAAGCCGCACGGGCTTTGTTCTCGATACCCTGGCGCCTCCGCCCGAACCCCTGGCTCCAGCTCATCCCCTCTACAGGTCGCGCGATCGCCTCGCCACCCCCATTCGGTGGGGGAGAGTGCGCCTGCCGGGCGGCGCGGCCAGTCGGATACACTTGGTGTCCTGTCTGGCGCGCGACCCCCTTCGCGAGGTTGCGGGTCGGCCGCGGGTGACCGCGGTCGCGGCCTCAGCAGAGTACTCTTGTGTCATGTGGTTGTCGGAGGCCATGTTACCGTCGGAAGAGTTTCGTGCCTTGTCGCGCGTCCTCGAGCATGCGCTGCGACTGTAGTCGTTCTCCTGCCTTGCCCTGCGTGTCCCATCCTCCCTTCTCCCTCGATCCCCCTCGTACTCTCACGTCGTTTCTCCTGTCCTCCCTTCTCATGATTCAAGTGGCTTACGCCATTCCGCCGACCACCAGAAGGAGTCAGAGCTTGCGACGATCGTGGAAGTTATTGAGGGGCCTTCGGCCCCACCCGCTACCGTGCCTGTGCTGTAGGTCAGGAGCCTCTTGGATACATATGAAGGTCTCGAGGGTTCATTTGGGAAGCTTTTTGGGGCCTCTTGGGGGCTTCTTGGGGGCGTCTTTGGAGACCTCTTGGGGCGCCTTGTGGGCGCCTCGGGGGCCTCTGAGGGGCTCTTGGAGCCATCTTGTGGGGAAAGGCTCGAGGTATCAGTTCTCATCCCCCTCTATCAGTTCGTATTCCACCCCTTGATCTCTCTTGGGGCCCTCTCGGGGTTCTCTTGGGCCGCCTTGGGTGCCCCTGGGGCCGTCTCAGGGCCCTCTTGGGCTGTCTTGGGGCTCTTTTGGGGGTCTCATCGGCCATCTTGTGACGATCTTGGGGGTCCCCTGGGCAGTCTTAGAAGCTATTATAAGCTGTCAAGACGAAAAAGGCGAGCGTGTCAATCATGCACGTTTTCCCGCGGAAAATGAAACGAATTATGCCTATCGGGGCCTTCTCGGCGACCCTCATGGATCACTTTTTGGCCGTCTTGGGGGCCTTGTGGGCCTTCTCGACGCTCTCTTCGACAAGCTTGGCGCTCTGTGTGGGTCCCGTAGTGGTGTTTTGGTGCTCCCGAGGCCTCGGGGATGCGTTGACGAGCTCTTACCCCCATCCCCCCTCCCACCCCCCACCCGCTTCAAACGGCATTTGGGACCCCAGGGGAAGGGGAAAGGGGGAGGAGGACAGCCAAATGTCTCACAAGCGTTTTCACACCCGGCAAGCGGGGGTCGGCGGTTCCTTCGGCCGTGTGCCACAACCCGAAGGAAACCAAACCACCGAGGAAGTTGAAGATGAAGGTCACTTCGGTCCTCACTGAAATGTCGATTCATATTTATTTCATATAACATCTTGCCAATGTGGCGGGATGAACGGCGTCGATGTGCAGAGATGGGGTCACAGAACTCGGCCGTATGTCATGCATTACCCCTCCTTGTTCCTCACCCTAGGTATGGAGGAAAGCGCTCGAACTAATTCTTCCTGGCAAGAAATGGCCAGGATAATTCGTCTGGAAGAGCTCGTTCGGAAGAATTCGTCCACGAGAAATCCCATCACAGGCCGTCCAAAAGATGTCACCCAGAAGGCGTCTAGAAGAAGCGAGTCAAACAGAAGTCGCTTCCCAGAAATAACACATGCCCAGAAGAAAAGGTTTGGAATAAGGCATCGTGAGCCAGTCATCCGAAAATGGGTCCCGAATTCCGAGTAAGTTGTCCAGAACAAGGGGCGTCGAACATCACATCAGGGTGATTTGGGATCCGGATGAAGTGATCGAGAGGAAGTGGACCATCAGACGTTGTCAGGAAGGCCTCACCCCAAGGAGTTCATTCAGAAGGATTCGTGGTCGGATGAAGTCGTAGTCCCAGCGCTATCCAGACACGGGTCTTGACAGGGAGACGTTTGCTGTGGGACAAGTTCCACCCACTCGGGATCGTTGTCGAATGCTTCCCTGCCATGGCTAGGCGCCAGGTCTTGATGCCTACAGTGGGAGGAACCATGGCCCTTGCGCCGCCTCACTGGGGCAGGGCTCGTTTCGAGTCCCCCGATTCGATTCGATTTCGATGGTTTCCGATTCTGATTCGATTCGGCCTCAGATTCCGATGTGGGCTCCGACTTCTCAGTGGAGGTCTATTAGCATGCCGATTTCCACCGATTCGATTTTTCCCGACTCCGATTAATTTCGATCGTCGATCCGACATATCGATTCGATTTTGGGCTATCCTGCAGTCCCCCCCCCCCATAGGGGGGCGCCTCCGCGTTCGTGCGACCAGGGCCCAGAAGCGGACTCCGAGGTTGCTGCTTAGACAAGGTCAGGTACAGTCGGACCGAGGTAACATCGAGGTCGATTCGCGGAGGGTACCCAAATGTTTTTCGTGTTTGTTGGATGTTCTTGTGCACCCTGGGAATGGTATCCTCGTATGGTCTGTGTGTTTTGGCTGTCGGAGGGACTCGTGTTCTTGAGGGATGTTCTTCTGTCCTAGGTTCGACTGTAAGACTGAGCCGGGGCCGTTCCGCCGCCAATGCCTCGGCGCGCGAGTGCTGTGCCACGCCATCTGCCCGCAAGGACATGCCGCAGTGCGGCGGAGCCGGCCCGGACCCCATCCTGTTGCAGGATCCGTTTGGCCGCTTGGGCGATGTTCATAGCTTCCATTCGTTTGTGTTATGCCGACGGCGGTGGTGATGAGAAGGCAGGGGAGGCCCTGCTTAGTGCGATCATGTTGCTTCGGACAAAGGTTTAAAGGGCACATCGAGGTGGGCCAGACGGCGCAGCGTGCAAACTGAGTTTGGGTTGGTCCGAAGGACGGGATGTTCCTCCTCTTCCTCTTTTCCTCGGTTCCTCATCGTCACTTCTCATCTTCTTCCCCCGTCCCCCTTTTATCATCCGACGTCCCCTCTTTGGATGAGCCACGTGCCCAGTTTATGAACATGCCCAGGTGTCGAGAGTACGTCATGTTCTTGAGATGTGGAGTGCCAAGAATGTGGCACAGGTGCCAGAAACAGCTAAGCAACACTCACGCATAACAGATGGTGTGAACTCCCCCCCCCCTCCCCCCAAATGCAATGTTGGGCTCGCATCTCCCGAGTTTGAGTGTCGGACCAGTGTTGCGTATACATGCCAATTTTGAATTGTGCGGAGAGGGGAAGTGTTGCTGAATTTTGTTCCCTCAACCGTAGGACCTGTGGAGGGGGAGACGGGGATGGCGGAGGAAGAGGAGGAGGAGGAGGACGCTGCAAAGTAGTAATTCGTCATGCAGCCTGATGCTTATGCAGAATCACATAGGTGCCCCTGGCGGCGCGCCAATCTTCACGGCGCATCCAGATTTACGTCCACCCGGCATAAGGAAGGCAAAAGTTGCGTTTTGTAGAATAGTATTTTCTTCCTCGTCGTCCTCTTCCTCACCATCCGCGTCGCCCGCATACTCCTCGCCCTCATCCCCTGGCAGGAAAGAGGCAACAGTTACATACGGGAAAACTTCCCCGAGTGCGACTTCGTGCCGCCCTCAGCAGCGCCTTGCTCGCAGTCGGCCAGAACGCCTGGAGGCAAGAAGGGCAACCGTGCAGGCACAGCTGCAGCGTTTGCTGTCACGGTGCTTCTGCGGGCTCCTCGAGGCATGCGTTCGTGCCCGGTTCCCAG